TTCTAAACTAAATCTCATATTTTTACAAACATAAAAACACTTTGTCTGAAATAATCTCATGTTTGTGGCTCAGTTACACTTTTGTCGTTTTTACACATTTCCTCGTGTGAACTGGACCTCAGTGACACGTCCAGAATCACAACTCTAAAAATACAAAAACTACTCATAAAAGTACAGTTACTTCACAAATCGACTCAAATACAGTCATGGGAGTATTTGTACTTAAAGCCAAATAACGACATTTCCTTGGAAACAAGCAGCAGGAGGCCGAGTCAGATCTGTGGAGAGGCGACTCCACTCACACTCAGTGTTTGTTTTTCCAGGTATTTTTGAGACATTAATCCAGCTGTGATTGAATAAATGTAAAGTTGAGCTGTTTAAAGTCACACTGTGGGACATTCCAGACAGAGCAGTGACGTCTCCATGGAAACAGCAGGTGGTGGATCCTTAACGAAGAAGTTACACAGTGCAGCTTTAATTATGAATCACCAAACAGTGTGAGCGTGTGACCCGTCACTGCCCCCCCCATGTGAAGAGCGCCCCCTGCAGTGAGACCCCAGCGCTCAGATCCAGTCAAATGAAGCTCATGAGGTCAGCAGGTACAGGGGGGATTTATTTACAGACAAAACAGACAAATCAAACCTCCAGCGTCACGTGGAGCTGTTAATTCTTTTTAAATTTAATTTAATTTGACTTTTATTTAACCAGGAGCTCCCAGTGACATTCGGAATCTCTGTTTCCACAGAGACGTGGTTGAGGAGCAGCAGAACCATCAATCATTCATTTTTACTGCTGTTGTAAAGTTCTGTCAGAGTTTTGTTGTATTTTGCACAATAATAATAAAAATAATCTGTCTAAACTATTATTTATCTAAACGATTTCTCTGATACAAAACAGTAAAATCACAAAGTGTCTCGTTTTAAAACCATTTGCATCTCAAAAAAAACTAAAACCCACACTCACATCTCGGTCGCCGCACTCACACTTTACTATTGAGCTGAACTCTTGAACTTGAACTCCTCAGATTCCAATTTAAGATTTTTCTGTAAATGATTCTGGGACCATGATGCTGCAGGAAAAGTCTGAGTTTCCAGCTCAGAGGCTCCAAGGGCAAAAGAAGAACAGAAGAGGAACAGAAGAAGAACAGAAGAGGAACAGAAGAGGAGAGAAGCTCAGATGAAGGACGTTTCAGAGGAACACAGAAGGTTCCTCATGTGGTTTTCTAAATAAATATAAACCAGGGCTGTTTTCTGTGAACTGTGACTGACTTTAGTGAGTGAAAAGTGTCAAAGAGCCACAGAGACAGAGTGACAGACTTGGCATTAGGGTCCAAAAAACATGTTTTTAGATTCTCTAGATTCTCTCCCTGCATTTGGTTCCATTTCTGTCTGGGTCCAAATTTGATGCAGATTAAAGAATATTTAGAGTTTTGCTCAAAACTCTTGAAAATGTCTCTAAACTAGAACAAACCAAATAAATGTGGCCTATTTGAAAAATGTGTGATTTTCTTCTTCTGTTCTTCTGTCACACTGGAGTGAAGAACATCAGGACAAACTTTTCTTCACTCAAGGACCAAAGACGTCGCCCAAAACTGTTCAGGTGTTTTCTTCTTCACGTCTGGATGTTCAGACTGTGGTGGTTCTGCAGGTCTCAGTGTGGAACCAGAACCCAGAGCAGAACACGGAACAGTTCTAAAGTTCTAGTGTGAGTTGCCCTTAAAAAAAAAGAAACACAATAGGTACTTTCTCTGGTAACTAGTTACTTTTATAGTGGAGTAACTCAGTTACTTTTTGGAAGAAGTAACTAGTAACTATAACTAATGACTTTTTCAGAGTAACACGTCCAACGCTGCTGAAAATGTAAAATGACTCATTTCCCAGGAAACTTCCTGCAGCTTGAGCTCCTCTAAACCATCTCCTGTTTCTTCCACTTTTCTTCTAAATCATCTTCTGGAGCTCAAACCTGAAGCAGCTTCTGACCGAGTTTATCTGAAACTTTATTTGTACCGAGTTGTGATGGAGCAGACTAGTGCAGGGGCGAGAGCTGACCCCTGAGGGACGCCTCACGCTGGGCTCCATCTGTGGGATCATTCTGGAACCATTTCATCGATTTTAACAAGAACATTTTCAGACGAGAAGGTCGAGGCTCAGAGCAGCAGAAACAGACACGACATGTTTAAATGGAAAGTCAATAAAGAGTCACTGGACGCTCACGAGTCGACCAGCAGATAACTCAACTCAGGTCACAACTTTGTCTGTTTATTTACAGTCTCAGGTCTGTGGTCTCAGGTCTGGTCGTGTGATGTTCTGGTCTGAGCGGCGTTGGTGTTGGTGGCGTTGGTGGCATTGGTGGCGTTGGTGGCATTGGTGTTGGTGGTGTTGGCGTTGGTGTCGTTGGTGTTGGTGGTGTTGGTGGTGTTGGTGGCGTTGGTGTCGTTGGTGTTGGTGGTGTTGGTGTTGGTGGCGTTGGTGTCGTTGGTGGTGTTGGTGTTGGTGGCGTTGGTGTTGGTGGTGTTGGCGTTGGTGGTGTTGGCGTTGGTGGTGTTGGAGTTGGTGGTGGCGTTGGTGGTGTTGGTGTTGGTGGTGTTGGTGTTGGTGGCGTTGGTGTCGTTGGTGGTGTTGGTGTTGGTGGCGTTGGTGTTGGTGGTGTTGGTGTCGTTGGTGTTGGTGAAGTTGGTGGCGTTGGTGTTGGTGTTGGTGGAGTTGGTGGCGTTGGTGTTGGTGAAGTTGGTGGCGTTGGTGTTGGTGGCGTTGGTGGTGTTGGCGTTGGTGTTGGTGGAGTTGGTGGCGTTGGTGGTGTTGGTGGTGTTGGCGTTGGTGGAGTTGGTGGCGTTGGTGGTGTTGGCGTTGGTGATGTTGGTGGAGTTGGTGGCGTTGGTGGTGTTGGTGGTGTTGGCGTTGGTGGAGTTGGTGGTGTTGGTGTTGGCGTTGGTGTTGGTGGTGTTGGTGGTGTTGGTGTTGGCGTTGGTGGTGTTGGTGTTGGCGTTGGTGTTGGTGGTGTTGGTGGCGTTGGCGTTGGTGGTGTTGGCGTTGGTGGCGTTGGTGTTGGTGGTGTTGGTGGTGTTGGCGTTGGTGGTGTTGGCGTTGGTGGTGTTGGCGTTGGTGGTGTTGGCGTTGGTGGTGTTGGTGTTGGCGTTGGTGGTGTTGGTGTTGGTGGTGTTGGTGGCGTTGGTGGTGTTGACGTTGGTGGTGTTGGCGTTGGTGGTGTTGGTGGTGTTGGTGGCGTTGACGTTGGTGGTGTTGGCGTTGGTGGTGTTGGTGTTGGTGGTGTTGGTGGCGTTGACGTTGGTGGTGTTGGCGTTGGTGTTGGCGTTGGTGGTGTTGGTGGAGTTGGTGGCGTTGGTGTTGGTGGTGTTGGTGTTGGTGGTGTTGGCGTTGGTGGTGTTGGTGCTGGTGTTGGCGTTGGTGGTGTTGGTGTTGGTGGAGTTGGTGGCGTTGGTGGTGTTGGTGTTGGTGGTGTTGGCGTTGGTGGTGTTGGTGTTGGTGGAGTTGGTGGCGTTGGTGTTGGTGGTGTTGGTGGTGTTGGCGTTGGTGGTGTTGGCGTTGGTGGTGTTGGTGTTGGCGTTGGTGGAGTTGGTGTTGGCGTTGGTGGAGTTGGTGTTGGTGGAGTTGGGTGGTGGTGGTGTTGGTGTTGGTGGTGTTGGTGTTGGTGGTGTTGGCGTTGGTGGTGTTGGCGTTGGTGGTGTTGGAGTTGGTGGTGGCGTTGGTGGTGTTGGCGTTGGTGGTGGCGTTGGTGGTGTTGGCGTTGGTGGTGGCGTTGGTGGTGTTGGCGTTGGTGGTGTTGGCGTTGGTGGTGTTGGTGTTGGTGGTGTTGGTGTTGGTGGTGTTGGCGTTGGTGGTGTTGGTGTTGGTGTTGGTGGAGTTGGTGGCGTTGGTGTTGGTGGTGTTGGTGGTGTTGGCGTTGGTGGTGTTGGTGTTGGCGTTGGTGGAGTTGGTGTTGGTGGAGTTGGTGGCGTTGGTGGTGTTGGTGTGGTGGTGGTGTTGGTGGTGTTGGTGGTGTTGGTGGTGTTTGGCGTTGGTGGTGTTGGCGTTGGTGTGGCGTTGGTGGTGTGGCGTTGGTGGTGTTGGCGTTGGTGGTGTTGGTGTTGGTGGTGTTGGCGTTGGTGGTGTTGGCGTTGGTGGTGTTGGTGTTGGTGGAGTTGGTGGCGTTGGTGTTGGTGGTGTTGGTGTTGGTGGTGTTGGTGGTGGTGGTGTTGGTGGTGTTGGTGTTGGTGTTGGTGGAGTTGGTGGCGTTGGCGTTTGGTGGTGTTGGTGTTGGTGGTGTTGTGTGGTGTGTTGGTGTTGGTGGTGTTGGTGGCGTTGGTGTTGGTGGTGTTGGTGTTGGTGGAGTTGGTGGCGTTGGTGTTGGTGGTGTTGGTGTTGGTGGAGTTGGTGGCGTTGGTGTTGGTGTGGTGGTGTTGGTGGTGTTGGTGTTGGTGGTGTTGGTGTTGGTGGTGTTGGCGTTGGTGGTGTTGGTGTTGGTGTTGGTGGAGTTGGTGGCGTTGGTGTTGGTTGGTGTTGGTGTTGGTGGTGTTGGTGTTGGCGTTGGTGGTGTTGGTGTTGGCGTTGGTGGAGTTGGTGTTGGTGGAGTTGGTGGCGTTGGTGGTGTTGGTGTTGGTGGTGTTGGTGTTGGTGGTGTTGGTGTTGGTGGTGTTGGCGTTGGTGGTGTTGGCGTTGGTGGTGGCGTTGGTGGTGTTGGCGTTGGTGGTGGCGTTGGTGGTGTTGGCGTTGGTGGTGGCGTTGGTGGCGTTGGCGTTGGTGGTGTTGGCGTTGGTGGTGTTGGCGTTGGTGGTGTTGGCGTTGGTGGCTGCAGTTTCACCTCTGCTCTGCTCTTTCGTGTGAATCAGTGACAGAGTTGTGAGTGTGAGTTTGTGTTTGAGGATGTTTAACAGCTTTTCAGGCCTCACACACTGACCCCTGCCCCCCCCCTCGCCCCCCCTGCCCCCCTCGCCCCCTGCCCCCCCCCTCCCGCTGGGGAACATTTAACTGACCCGTGAGCTGTTGTGTTTGGCCCCAGAGCGTCGGTCCTGCTCCATCTGCTCTCGGTGAGTCCTTCACTTTTTATCTTCTTCTCGTTCAGGTGATAATTACAAATATTTAAAATCAAACTCAAATCTCCTGCGTCACACGAACACGACTCCTTCAACTTTAAACCACGATCGGACAAAATCAGAGCTGGACTTGTGTTTTTTGTTTGAGTAACTCTTTATTATTTGTTTGTTTTATTTACAAAGCACAGAACGCTCTGTCCCACCTTGTGATGTCACCAAGTGGTACAGCTCCTTCACTGTAAAAAAAAATTAAAAATCTAATCAAGTTCAGACGACTTGAATTTAAAAAGTTTGGTCATGATTTGAGTAAATTTCACTTGGACTAAAATGATCTGCAGTGGAATAAGATTTTAGACCTGGTTTAGACCTGGTTTAGTCCTGGTTTAGTCTTGTTTTATTCCTGGTTTAGTCTTGGTTTAGACCTGGTTTAGACCTGGTTTAGTCTTGTTTTAGTCCTGGTTTAGACCTGGTTTAGACCTGGTTTAGTCCTGGTTTAGTCCTGGTTCAGCCCTAGTCTAGTTCTGGTCTAGTCCTGTTTTAGTCCTAGTTTTAGTCCTGGTTTAGACCTGGTTTAGTCTTGTTTTAGTCCTGGTTTAGACCTGGTTTAGTCCTGGTTTAGACCTGGTTTAGTCCTGGTTTAGACCTGGTTTAATTCTGGTTTAGTCCTGGTTTAGACCTGGTTCAGTCCTGGTTTAGTCCTGGTTCAGCCCTAGTCTAGTTCTGGTCTAGTCCTGTTTTAGTCCTAGTTTTAGTCCTGGTTTAGACCTGGTTTAGTTCTGGTTTAGTCCTGTTTTAGTCCTAGTTTTAGTCCTGGTTTAGACCTGGTTTAGTCCTGGTTTAGTCTTGTTTTAGACCTGGTTCAGTCCTGGTTTAGTCCTGGTTTAGTCCTGGTTTAGACCTGGTTTAGTCCTGGTTTAGTCCTGGTTTAATTCTGGTTTAGACCTGGTTTAGACCTGGTTTAGTCCTGGTTTAGTCCTGGTCCAAACTATGGCCCGTGGACCAAATGCGGCCCTCAGACAGATGTTTCTTGGCCCTCAGGTTTCCAGGTGATTTGGCTCAAATGATTTTGCATCAGTTAAAAATGAACTTTTTACTGCAAGTTTTTTTGATAATCCACCTTGATAAATCTGAAGTTTAATATTTATTTTGTGGTTTTAAGGATGTAATGTGTGAGTAAAGTGTTCGGTTGATTGTGACGTGTGAGTAAAGTGTTCGGTTGATTCTGACGTGTGAGTAAAGTGTTCGGTTGATTGTGACGTGTGAGTAAAGTGTGACGGTTGATTGTGACGTGTGAGTAAAGTGTTCGGTTGATTGTGACGTGTGAGTAAAGTGTTCGGTTGATTGTGACGTGTGAGTAAAGTGTTCGGTTGATTGTGACGTGTGAGTAAAGTGTTCGGTTGATTGTGACGTGTGAGTAAAGTGTCCGTTCGCTCTGACGTGTGAGTAAAGTGTCCGTTCGCTCTGACGTGTGAGTAAAGTGTTCGTTCGCTCTGACGTGTTGAACCTGCAGATGTTTGAGTGGTTCTGGTCTGAGCTCCGTCTGTGTTTACAAACGTGGCTCTGGAGGAGAAAAGTCTGGACTCCCCCGACTTAAAACAAGAAACAAAATCCAATGTTGCTTGACTTAAGAAAATCTGTGTGTCCTTCGTTCGTTCGTTTTTTCAAAATAAAACCAAAAAAATTTTACGATAGAACAACTGTTTTCTTCATTATTTGTCTCCAAACATCAAAATGAAAAAACAGATAAAGATTTGAGTTTTTAGGTTTTGATTTTGTGTTTAAATGAAAAATGGAAAAAAAAAAACAGATAAACTGAACCAGGTCTAAACCAGGTCTAAACCAGGACTATAACAGGTCTAAACCAGGTCTTAACCAGGACTAAAACCAGGACTAAAACCAGATCTAAACCAGCTTTAAGTACAAGTACTCTTGAAAAAATACTCTTCAGAGTACTTGTTACTAGTTACAGTTTTAACACAATTTTAGAAATATTTTGATATAAAACTTGATCGTTCTAAAAGTCTAAAATGAATTATGAAACAAGCCTGGTGGAGTCAGGTTTGTGGAGAGGCGAGCCGGCTCACAGTAAAGACGTTTGCTTTTTCTAAGTTTTTCAGTGCAATAAACTATGAACATGGGATAAAAAAAACCAAAAAGTTACGCACTGTGACTTTAATTAAAGCTGATTTAAAGATGTATTGTGTAACTTTTCTGCTGGAGGGTCCGTCATGCGCTTATTCTTTTGTCTGGAATGTTTCACAGTGTGGCATTAAACCCCTTCTATCACCATGGAGACCAAACCAGACACAGTTCCAGGTCAGATCTGATGTTTTTTCTTGGTATTTTTGACTCTAAAACCTCCTGTGACTGAATAAATGTAAAGTGGAGTAAAGTTTTAAAGTCACACTGCGGAACATTCCAGACAGAGCAGTGACGTCTCCATAGAAACGAGCAGGTGAGGGACCCCCCGAACGAAAAGTGACACAGTGCAGCTTTAAGATAAGTTGTTTGGAGCAGATTTTCTTGGTAACATTCCAGATCTTTGTGTTGGTTTAATCCTGTAAAGCGTCTTACAGCTTCAGCTCGGAAACGTTTGGACTTTTATAAATCATGAAAACGTTCAGGACTTTAC